ACGGGTTTCATTTTTGCTTGCTCCTGAGAAACATTCGGTCTGCCATTACCACGCCCCCTGGCGTTTCCTCTTACAGAAAAAGTAGAGGGAGACCGCATGCCTTTATCTCTTTGATCTCCTTTGTCTTTAAACCAACAATCTTTGGAAAGATGCCCCACCTTGGAACAGACAAAACACTTAATGGCCTTTTTTGCATTTCCTTTGTGACGAGGGTCACTAATTTTAAGTACAGGCACACTTTCATTAACATTTGACTGTTCTCTCCGGAAGCCTTCTGATTCCAGGTAACAAACTGTATGGTCCACGCTCAAATTCTCTACATCACGTAAATGGGCAACCTGAACTTCATAATTATCAGGTAATGAGTTTAAAATAGCGGCAACCATAGAGCTCTCAGAGGGCGGGTCATTAATCGCTTTCAGTTCATCATAAATATTAATCATCTTACTCAAATGTACACTCATTGTGTCTCCCTTTTGCATTTTGCTATTAAACAGCTTTTTGTTAAGAAAGATGCTATTTGCCTTGGACTTCGCAGCATACTTCTTGTCTAAATGCGAAATCATTTCTTTCGCTGTTTGATATGTTAATAGCCTTTGATTATCACTAATCACAACATTGCCAAGAATTAAAGCACGGGCATGACCATCCTTTTCTCTAAACTTTTTGAGCTGGTCAGCATTGTTCGTGGGAGCTTCCTGGGTTAAAACATAACTCGCAGAGGTGGCTTCCAAAACACACTTTAAACACTCCTTCCAAAAACGATAATTACTGGACGATAATTTCGGTATGTTATAACCGTGCGCAGACGCCATTTTTATTTATTTATTTATTTTTGTTATTACTTTACCAAAACTTCCCTTTGTAGAAGCGAGGTTGTCTGTCGTTCGTCTGGGGTTGCTTGTGATCTCCTCCTGTCTCCAGCGCTGTGTCAGTTCTCTGGGAATCCTTTGTTTTGCGGAGATAGTTTCACAGCAGGAGATGAAGTTCCTCTTGCCTCTTTGTCCTGTTAGCACGATGGCGAAAACAGACTCGAAAGAAACGGCAAAGAAAATTCTCTCTTCTTAAGTTCTAATACACATTGGCTCAGACACTCTTCAGCTTAAAAAACATATCTGGGCAACATAACCTGTTAGATGGTTTAGTATTTAATTTCTTAATTTCTTATTCAGCACAATTCTGTGTCTTGTTAATTGCTATTGCATTCCTATCCCTGCTGTTATGCCTTTGCTGAAACGCTTATCTCTACAGATGTGCAGGAGGAGGCTGTGTTGTCTGGAGAGCTCCTATCTACCGTGAGAGACTCTGAGTTCTCAGCTTTAGCCACCTAACGGTTGCCTGACTTATCCCACGTGCAGGAGGGTGCCTAATTGGCCAATGCCATGGGGGGGGTGCATACGAAAGCCCTATATCCTATTATGCTCTACTGGCTGTGGTCATTCTTAACAGTGCCTATGTTACTGCATCTATAGCTTTGCAATAAAAGTATAACCATTCCTGAATGCGTGTACTTCGTTGTTAGCTGTGGGTTCTGACATTCTGTTAAGAATCCTCCATTCTCTATCTCTGCGCATCTCTCCCCACAACCAGGATGAGCGACATAGAGGAGAAACCGATTCCTGATATGGATGACTCCAGGGGAGTCTAGGCTCCAGCCACGACCGGTGGGGGGACCCCAACGACCCAGTCGACGGTGCCAATGACTACGACAACGCCGGTTACGACAACGGGTGTGGGAGCTGTACCTAAGACTTCGACTTTGGTGTCCCTGACCCCGACGGGGCCGAGGCAGCCGCCCGGCCATGGATACTGACCAAGTTCCAGCTGGGGCCAGTTCAACTGGACTTGACTGTGGAGACTTATATGCTCACGCAAAGGCCACCGAGAGACAGCCGGTTCGATCGGGGATTTTCTACGGGGAGTGGTTTTCCCTCCTTTGGGGCTGAGTTTGAACCATTGCCGGGGGCATGGGTGACAGAGAGGAACAAGCCAAGAAGTGGCCATGTGTCCCCAGATGAGGGGCTGGAACTGTCCCAGAGGATGGAGGTGGCGGATCAGGAGAGAAGGCAGATGCAGCGGAACCTGGAGGAGGTCATCCAGGCGATACCACAGCTGGTGATCCAAGCCATCCGAGAGGAGAGGGATGCCCATCTGGTGGTCCCCGCAGGACCAGTGGTACCGCCGGCCCCACCACAGCAGGTGCCCAAGTCGGGGGATGTCCCACAACCAGGGCTGCCCGAGGTCCCAGTTCCAGCGCCACATCCCGCCAGTCCGAGAGAACGGGCGATACCTCGCCCGAAAGACCTCATAGAAGCCACAGACGACAGCAGCCAAGTGGATGTGGTGGCGGCATAGCTCCAGGGACCCACGGTGGCTTTGTATGTGGGGCTGCACAATGCCCAGGGCCCGGAATTGATTAATCTGGACACTTTTATGTGGGCGTTGTGAGCCCAATTCGAAGACCGGAACGCCGGGCCCAAAGCGAGGGCGTTCCTGCGAACCCTTAAACAAGGTAGGTGATCGGTGATCGGTGAGGGAATACTCGTTGTAATTCAAGCTCCACGCGGCCAAAGTGAAATCTTGGCCTGATCCGGTGTTAGCAGAACTATACCGAGTGGGACTGAACCTGGAGATTCGAGAAATGGTCCTGAGAGCAGTGGATCCTGTATCCCTCCCAGCCTGGATGCAAGAGGCAGAGAGCGCGGAAACCCACCTACAAACCCTTTGGCTGGACATTGCGACAGCAGGGGGTCGGCCGACCCCTCAACCAACGAAAGGGAAAGCACCACGGCAAGTGGAGTTGACCCGGGAGCAGCGCATGAGGCAGGGGCTTTGCCTGAAATGTGGGGAGCGGGGCCATTTCGAGGCCGATTGGGGCAGATCGGGGCCTGTGAAACAGGGGCCCAGGGAACCAACCCAAGTGCGCCACGCCACACCAGCGAAGAAGGCGACTGGGAAGCCAAAATATGCCAAAGCGTTGCAAGTGGCTCCCGAGGAAGGGGAGGCAGAATCCAGCAGAGAGGACCCCGAGCCGGCAGGAAACAGATTGGTCCTGCTGTAAGAGGCACGGAGCAGCAGGGCCCAATCTCGGAGGCACCTAATGTGGTGAGCAGTTTTCCCTCCCTCTTTTTCGTGACTGTGACTTTGATTAACCCCAGCCTCAGCACACATATACGGGTGCAAGCCCTAATTGACTCAGGGTGCGGGCGGGACCTTATCAACCCCTCCCTGGTTACGGAGTTGGAGTCTGGGGTGGTGAAATTAAAAGACCCCCTCTGGAGCCATCCCTTCCTGAGCTAAGGCAAACATGTGTGAGCTGGAGGCTCAAAAACTGTGCGCTATCTCACACTAACTCAGCTTAGAGGGAACACTGCCTGTGAGGCAGGTGGGGCTGAGAGAGCTTTCACAGAAACTGCTCTTTTTCAAGGACAGCTCTTATCAGAACTACGGCTTGCCCAAGGCCATCCAGACACAAGTGCGAGTGGGCATCTAACAGAAATCAAACCCGGTTCTCCCAGATTAGAGTCCGCGCACCTTAACCACTGCACCAAACTGGCTCTAGCGGGCACAGACTGGGGCTGGCATGCGGATCCTGCCAGAGGCAAGGTTCGGGCAGCTTCCTAGTTGAAGACTCTTGCCTGGGAGTGGCCAGGCAGAATTCCACAGACAGGATCTGGAAAGGGCGGCAGACCTACCTGCTTCAAGAGGCACCGACAAGACGCACTGACTCTCCACTGCAAGGCTGGGCCACGGCAGCGCACTGTGCCTGGGGCTGCCCTTGAAGACAACCTGGCCTGGCCATGGCCCCCCTGCTTACGGGAATGTCTCGGTTTGATCACCCTGACGCTTGTTTCAAAGCAGCTTTGTTGGTCTGGTGGCCAGCGCTGGGTGGGGAAGTACCTGGAGATTTTGGGGGGCAGAGCCTGGAGAAGGTGGGGCTTGGGGAGGGGCCTCAGCAGGGGACGGTGCCACAGAGTCACCCCCCCCCCCGAAAGCAGCTGCCGTTTTCTCGGGGGGGGGGCGAGCTTGGTGGCCTGGAGATCAATGGCAAGGGGTGGTTTCCTGGCCCCACCTGGAGGTTGGCAACCCTGTTCGTGGGATAGCCATTTGTTTCCAGGTGCTGCTTGAAGCCCTTCGCTTTCCCCGATGCAACCCTGGACGGCACCTCAGATCTCCCCAGCAGGTCATCCAGCCCGAACCGCCACCCGAGACACTCAGACCTGCCTCAGTCGCTCAGTCACGGGCATTTGGGGCAGCGACCCTTTCCCTTTGGGACCCCCGTCCAGAAGATGTGCAGGCAGGCAGGCAGGGAGGGAGGGAGGGAGGGAGGGAGGGAGGCCTTTGGGGGCAACTGCTGACAGAGGACCGTGTGTGTGGGTTGTGCTTTCCCTGCAACGTGTCTGTTTCCGAGGGCAGACTTGCTTCCTCAGCTGCCTTGAGCCTCCTTTGATGGGGGAAGAGACAGGACAGGGACACTGGAACAGGCAGCAGAGTGAGACCAGGATCCCCACAGGCCCTCATGTCTAGCCTACCTTCACCCTTGGGACCCCAGGCAGTGTACCATTTAAACACACACACACAAATAAAAGGAGTCTACGTCATTCAACGGGATTACAAGACTGAGGTGCCCCTTTCCACGGGTCGCCCCGTGCCCCCGTCCAGGCTTCCTTGAAGAGGGCCCAGGCTGCAGCTGAGCCCCGCGTGCTGCTGAGCCCATGCTTCCTGGGGGGTGCAAGGGGGGTGCACGCTAGAGCGGACGGGGCTCTGAGCAGCCGCTGCGGCTGGGCAGGCAAAGGCCTGGAGGAAAAGCCGTTGGGGGAGAGTGGGCAGGAGAGCTCCTGGGGGCGGCCAGGCTCACATTCTGGGCGAGGCCAGAAGAGGCCTGCAGCTGGGCACTGGGGAGGCGTGGCACATGGGGCCGATCTCCTGCCCCACTGGCAACGGCTGGCTCTGTAGATGGCAGAGGATGGGGCCTTCCCTGGTCTGCACCCCAGCCGCCAGGTCCTGGCCTGAGCTGCGCCGGCGCACCTGGGAGGAAACCTCGGGGAGGAGGGCTCCCTCTCGCAGGACCCTGCTTAACCACACGGGCCCCGATGAAAGAACGAAAGAACGGGACGTGGGCCAGGGGGAGCGGTGCCAGCAGCACCCGTGACCGGCTTCCTTCTCCTGGAAGTTGGCGAGAAGCCCGAGGCTGGTCTCTTCCTCTCCTCACAGTGCCCGGGTCCCCTGGGAGGGCTGGGGAAGGAGGGAAGCGCCAGGCCCGGGTGAGTCACTGCCCTCCTCCAGCAAGACAGAGCGGGCAGCACGTAGCCACAGCCGCCGTGGGCATCACCATGAAGCTGGGCAGCAGGACTTCTCTCCCACCCCACAGTCGGGTCACCCGAGGAAAGGAAAGCGGGCCCCGGGGGGCTCAGCGGCACGGAGCTCTTCCCTGCCCTCCCAGGGGTCTGGCCCTGCAAAAAGGGTTCCCCGTCAGGGCAAGGCCTCTTTGCAGCTAACCCTGAGCACCAGGGATCTGCCCAAATACCTGAGAAGGGGGGCCTGTTTTGGCTTGGTTCAAGCTCCAGAGTTGTCTGTGTGACCCGTCCCCCCCCCCCCCCCAAGGCAGGCCCACCCCCCCGCCAGACGGGCTGGCACGCGCCCTTTGGATTTTTCTCATTAGCCCGGTCTCCAGTGAGCTCGTTACCAGGAGCATCGGCACTCCGGTCCTGACAGCCCCTTCCCACCCTGACAGCCATATGGCAGCACTCTGCCTGCCTCTCTCTGCGTGTGTGTGTGTGTGTGTGTGTGTATGTGTGCGCGCGCCCGCCTGTGTAGGAGGGGGGGGTGCTGGGCGGGTGGGTTCCTGGGCAGACACCACTGTTGAGGCTGGGCCTTTGTCTGTAAGCCTCTTCCCACACCTGGGCTCTGGGTGGCTCTGGCCAGGAGCTCAAGAAACAGCCAAGGGGAGAGATGGGCCCTGGCTTCTCATGGGGGGCGTTTTCGGTTCATTTTGCTGTTCTGTTCACTGGTTCTCTTTATTGGGCCTGTCTGGATTCTTGACCGAGTTGCTTGCATTGATTCCAGCAGGGAGGAGGAGGAAGAGGAGGAGCTTGGATTTATACCCCGCCCTTCATTACCTGAAGGAGTCTCAGAGCAGATTACAATCTCCTTTCCCTTCCCCCCCCCACAACAGGCACCCTGTGAGGCAGGTGGGGCCAAGAGAGCTCTCTCGAGAACTGCCCTTGAGAGAAGAGCTCTGAGAGAACTTGTGACTGATCCAAGGTCACACCATCAGCTGCATGTGGAGGAGTGGGGAATCAAACCCGGTTCTCCCAGATTAGGGTGAGTAAAGAGAGGCTCCAAAGAGCAGCTCACTGAAAACGTTCGGACAAAGAAGAAGCATGTCCTCTCATACACCAGGGGCAGGACACCAGGCTGGGAGGTGGCTGCGCCTTTGGATTGCTTACGGAGGGCAGGATGGTGGCAGAGAAACTACAGAGCCACAGAATGAATCCATGGGGCACATACAGATGCCAGAGACACCGTCTGAGTCAAACTGAGGAGACAAGAGATGACATTCTAGACCTACTGGGGAAATTAAAAACCAGCAAGTCTCTGGATTGTGAGTGATTCACACATGGAGTGATTCACCCAAAGAGTGATTAACACATGGAATTCACTGCCACAGGAAGTGGTGGGTGCTACAAGCATGGACGGCTTCAAAAGGGAATTAGATAAGCATATGGAGCAGAGGTCCATCAGTGGCTATTGGCCACAAGGTATAGATAGGGGCTCTGGGGCAAGTGATGCTCTGTCATCTTGGTGCTTGGGGGGGGGGGGGTCAACAGTGGGATGGCTTCTAATGTCCTGGCCCCACTGGTGGACCTCCTGATGGCACCTGGTATTTTTGGCCACTGTGTGACAGAGTGTTGGACTAGATGGGCCTTTGGCCTGATCCAACGTTGGCGTCTCTTATGTTCTTATGAGAGCCTCCCATACACCCAAGAATTCTTAGGGAACTCAAATGCAAAACTGTTGATATACTAATTGTTGATATCCAGGGCTCTTTTTGTAGAAAAAGCCCAGCAGGAACTCATTAGCATAATAGGCCACACCCTGACAGCACCGCTCATTAGCACATTAGGCCACACCCCCATGTTACCAGAAGTGTGGTAATCCAGCCACACCCACCTTTCCCTTCTTATTCTGTTTACCTTGTTTGTTTTCAAAACCCACGGCCTCTTTCTGTAGCAGGAACTCCTTGACATGTTAGGCCACACCCCCCTAATGTAGCCAATCCTAATGAGTTTCTGCTATTGAGTGTGGCCTATTATGCTAATGAGTTCCTGCTGGGCGTGGCCAACTCAGGAGCCAGCCGGAACTCCGTTCCTGTGTTCCTGCCCAAAAATAGCCCTGATACTAACCAGTACCTACCAGGCAAAGTCCTGCCTCAACAACCTCGTGAAGTTCTTTAAGAAAGTGAACAAGCATTGGCGATCTGGTAGACATTATAGAGCAGGACTTTCAAAGGCTTCTGACAAGGCACCTCACCAAAGACTCCTGACCCAGCTGAGCTCTGAGCAGGAGCAGGAGACAGAGCTGTTGGGTATTACAAGTTGAAAACACTCAGGATATCTGGGGTTAAATGTTTGTTTATGTTACTCACAGGAAGTCACATGTTTCTCATGTAACCAATGTTCTTTAGATGTAGGAATGCCTGGGAATTTTCTCCCTGATCTAGGAATTTGATTGGGACTAAAGTGTCAAGGTGTATCACCATTTTATGGCTTCTCTTCCCATCTTCGTTTGGTGTTCTGAAGAAGAAGAAGAAGAGTAGCCATAATCTCTCTCTTCTAGTTTTGTCTTTGTAGAGTAAGGATGTAGCAGATTTTGCTCTGTTGTTATTTTCATCCCAGTTACCCTTCCCCATGCTAGAATTTAGTAAAAACTTTATATTTTAATCACACATGGACTCTCAGTCTGAGTTATCTTACTCAGGCTCTGCTGGGCTATCTTATCTCTGCTAAATGCCATTTTTTCAATATCTCACTATCACCCAACACCCAGGTCCCTCTGAGCCCGTCTGCAGGGAAATGGGTGGGGGCCCGGTAGGCTTCAGGACTCTCCCCCCCCCTGCCCTCTTTGCTGAAGCCTGGAGCAACTGGCAGTGACAAGCCGCCCTCCCTTCCCCTGTCAGGCCCGGGCCCGCAGGAGGGGGAGCCGAGGAGGGGGCTCAGGTTACCCCGGGGCCTGCCGCTTGGAGCCTCCTGCCATTAAGCAGCCCCGGAGCATGACGGCAGCGGGTGTGTGTGTGTGTGTGTGTGTGAGAAAGGGGGGGCAGGGCATGATATCAAAGCGTGCTGCCCCCTCCCCCCCCCCAGGCAGGCTGCTCAGCCTCTCTCCCCATCTCCCTCCCCCCATTATGAGGGCGCAAGGACACAAAGGCGGGGGCAGGGAGGGGCTCCAAGGGCCCATCATGCCCTGCTCTGCTCTGCCCCCGGCCGCCCCACCTCCCCTTGTCCCCCGGCAGACCGGGGAGGGAGGGGGATCCAAGCCACCCCCCAAGGGACTGGGAGGGCCACCGTGCGTGCTGCGAAAAGCCCCCTCTGACGGCAGCCGGGCAAAGCCCTCTCCCACCTTGCCGCCGGTCCTGCGTGTGGCAGGAAGGCGCTCTGCACATGCTCAGGGGGGCGCCCCTCCACCGTGCTCCCACTTTGCTCCGTCCGGAGCGGCCACTTTTGCTGCGAAAAGCCCCCTCTGACGGCAGCCGGGCAAAGCCCTCTCCCACCTTGCCGCCGGTCCTGCGTGTGGCAGGAAGGCGCTCTGCACATGCTCAGGGGGGCGCCCCTCCACCGTGCTGCCCCCAGCGGAGGGCGGGTCCGGAGCTCCCACTTTG